TTACCTCATAGATTTCAGTCATTAGTTAAAAAGTCTGTCGTGGTTCCAGTTAATAAGTCTTCTGAACTGAATTATTGAACAGTTAAGTGACGATTGAAAGAGCCTGATTTATGAACAAGATAGTCAACCATTTTTGTCCAAGATCTTTGATGACTTAATAAATGAGTGTCACATACAACCTACACTTTCAAAATGTCTTTTATGTAATTGCATGAGGTACTGATTTCCAATGGTTCTTTTTTTTTACAATAGTAAATGATTACAATTTGATTTCTCTATAATTCGTTCACCAAGCGAGTGTTTTATTCATTCAATTTAGTCATTGGAGATTTTTTTTTTCCGTTCCAATCACTTTTTTTTGTGTTGTGTTATTACCACGAACCGTTATTGAAAGCAAAGAATTGTTTAATAGAAACCTACACTGGACTCTGAAACCCGACTCTGGCGGAATTGGAGTGTTCGTGAAGATTTTTTTCGAGTCAATGTTAGAGTTACATCAAAAATTATAGATTCGTAGATAAATTTAAAAAAAAAATCATCAGAGAGACATTCTCATTAATTAGTAGCACAAAAAGTAGTTTATATGCTAATAAAAAAACACATTTTTCGAGAGTTAAACTCCGACAGAAAATATTAATAGAATATAAAAGTTTGACTTCACAAATCTCTACTTTCTACTGTCTTCACCTTTTGTCTTCTTACATTATGTGTTTGTTAATTGTTGATTAAAGAATATTGGTAAAATCAAATATTGCGACTGCTTAACAAAGCTACTATTAAGATCAAATTGCTGTCGTCTAGAGAAAGTAATGTAGAGTTTGATGATTCCAAAAACCTGGAATCGTTAAATCATCAGATAGATGTACAAATTCTTAAATCTATGTTGAGAAATCTTCATTTTTTTATTGTTGAAATTAAAAAATTTCAGTGTATATGTATAATATTGTTTTGTTTAAGTACTGAAATATGTAGCGTCTTTAATCTCAACAATTCAATAGTGAAAATTCCTCAAAATAGATTTAACATTTTCGTATCTATCTGACGATTTAACAGTTTGGGCTTCATGTGATATTTTGAAAAAAAATACTTTCAAATTCGATGAAAAAAAAACCTACGATTGATGTGAAGCGTCGTGGAATAAATTATTCGAATAAAAGAACGACGTATTTAAAACAAGTTGAGTTTAACATTATTCTTCAATACTCTAGAAAATACAAAGAAGTGTATGGTTCTGAAAGGAAACAACAAATTCTGAAAACAATAGAATTATATTGATAAGACATCCTCGTCGTATATGATATGATTTTGTTTTTTCATGAATCTCGAGCATTGTCTTTAGCTGATTTCGTTGTCTGCTGTGTTCATATTGTTGGTTGAGAGAAAGACATTGGAGACGAAAGAATATTCTAAAATACACGTAGAAAAACATTAAAAATATTTTCAGTTAACTTACAAAAGACGATTTAGAATGAACATCAAACGAACTGATATTTTTGAGATTATAATAATTTTAATAGTCGAACGTTCAATTTCTAGTTTACTTAACTAAACGACAAAAAACGAAAAACGATTCATAAAAATTATTTAGACTTATTGCTTTACAAATTGATTTTCTTTTTTTGTCTTGAAGAATAGTATTTCTAATAGAAAACTGAAGCAAATCATCTAATCACATTGATTTTCAAGAGCAAAGTGTCAAATGACATTCTATTTTTCGAAACTTATCACAAAGTATTCAAGTTGTGGATTGTTCGATTTAGATTAGAAAAGAGACTTTTCGTATGTATTTATCAAGATAAAATTTAAATTGGAAATATAAAACATTCAGCACATGATCACAATCGATAAACAATTCTTTTACCTGATATTTCACCGATGAGTTTAAAAAAGCATAAAACAACAAACAATCGAACGAAAACACATAAATTAGATTCATCTCTCTATGAATTTTACTTTTTTTTAAGTCAACGGCTGTGCAAGAAGCATGTACAGGGATTGTTTAAAAATCCGCAGCAAAGACAATGCGACAACAGCAGTTGAAAAAAAAAGAAACGTTTTAAAAAAAAACGATATGACTATCTAGAAGACGCCAGGATGTGAAATACAAAACTAATAATGACAAAATTTTAAAGTTCGAAAGTTGCATACAATGAAAAAATAACGTGTAAATCATTCTTAGTAGGTGTATGCATGACATTTTGTTTTTATGAACAGAATGTAAAATAGATTATCAGTCAAATATCACAAGAATCTTGGATACTATGGTGTCTTGGTGGTTTGTTGCTATTAAAAATACTATTGAACAATCGATTACAATACCATCTTTTCTTTCCCTTATTGTCTTTGTCCACTCTAAAAAATCAAGAAGAATGAACTGTATAGACAAGATAGTCCGTTCGTTTATACATAATACTTTGAGCTAATTCTGATTGGTTGATATATATCTAATTAAGACACTTCACCTGTCAACGGATGGTCGATTTTAGACATTCAAGCGTTTTACTCACGTCGGGTTGAATGATTTAGATCAATCAGATAAGCGCTTGGCAGCTATATTTCCTTGATACATCAACTGACGTACGAGCTTTCAATTCTAGAAATGATTGCATTTCGATATGAATAGTGTGTCTCAAGAAAATATTCTTAATAAAATAATTTTATATTTTTTCTCATCAATTTTGTTTTTTTTAAAATTTAGCTTGACATTTTTTAAAGAGAACTTATATATTTTTAAAATATTTTTCGATACGATGTCAAGTTAAATTTGAAAAAGAGTTAAAATAGATGAGAAAAAAAATAAAATTATTTTATCAAAATATTTTCTTAAGACACACTATTCATATCAAAATACAATCATTCCCAGAAATGGTAGCTCGTAGGTCAGTTGAAGTATTGAGGAACACAGTATCGAAGTTGTTTCAAGGTCATTGGCGTACAGATGTTCGTAATATTAATATAATCTAGAAAAAAAAACTAGGTTTAAATCAACAGATATTCTAACACAAAAGAATAACTAAAAAGCACGAGAATAAATAAAGTTTCTAGATTGTACAACACCATCAGAATAATACATATCAATGCACATCAAATTTGGATAAAGCATTTGCCATTGGTAATGAGATTCGTTGGGAAAAAAACGACGAATCAAAGATTCTATTTATTTCGCCATTAAGAAGTCAAAAAGTCGTCATAATAACATTCATACACAATCGCTCCCTTTACTGAATGAAGCATCTACAGTAATAAAAAGGAACATAGAAAAGAAGTGAAAAAAAAATTTAAATAGAACAATCTATGCATTCATATACAACATCTGAAGCAGTTAAATTCAATTGTGGAAAGTTCATATCGTCATTTTCTTCAAAGAACTATTATATGAATGTTATAATTATTTCAAATGAATTGCTTTTATTTCATTTTAATTTTTAAACCAAAACATACAAAAATAAATATATACAATAAGTCCTCAAAATATTCAATCAATTAAGAACAAAATTTGCTAAAAATAAAAAAAAATAAGTCATGTTTTGATCATATACATATGATTGTTTTGCACACCTTGTGATGCACTTTTTTTTCATATTAGTATCTTATATCTGTACGAAGAATGAATGAGAGAACAAGCAAAAGAAAGTTAAAGTTTGCAAGCAAGAAAAAGAACGTACTTTTTGAGAGTAATCTAGCTGTATTTTGCGTGCATTATGATGAACCTTTGTTTGTTTGTGTAAGGGTATAGTTTTGCTCTATAAAGAAAAAATAAGAGAACAAGCAAAACAGTGACAAAATTTATTTCGTCTAAATACGAAGGATATATGAATGATTTTTTTGAATATTCTGGGTCTTTCTTATCGATATTTTTTTTTGACATCTTTATTTAAATTTTAAAAAAAGTAAAAGCAAATAGTTTTGATTAATTATAACATTTCTATAATAATTATTTGAATAAAATAATGACGTGATGTTCTGACAATCGAGCTTCTCCTGACGAGACATTGTATAGGACTGTACAGATTTTTCTATTTAAATTTGCTTTTCTTTTCTTTTTGGTATTAATCATACGACACTGGGAAGGCAAGACATTGAAACTGGTAAGACAGATCGAACACTTGCTTTCCTCCACTGACTCGCTATCATATGACAGATATAAGAAAGAAAATAAAAAGATGCTAAAAACAATCTATACATTTGTATACAACGTCGAAGAAGAGAACTTCAATGATCAAAAAATTACATCAGTATTCTATTCAAATAATAATTATGTGAATATTATAATTAATTAAAAAGCGTTGTTTCTATTTTACTTTAAGTTTCCAATAAAAATATAGGAAAAAATAAAAAAATATAAGAAAGAATAAAACTATTCAATAAATTGATACATCGTTTTGAATACAGAAAATGAATTTAATAATTTCTATAGAAGGAGCGTATATACCATCGTGTTCAACTTGGAAAAACTACACCAATGATTTATGAAAAGAAGAAAAACATAAAATATATCAAAAACAATGTAAGAAAGAATGTGTGAATTCTAAAGGAATATGGCTAAATGACATAACAAATAATAAGAAAAAAATGTATTGTTAATGAATACAATGACAAAATTCTGAAATCATGTTTAGAACGTCGGTTCAAATGACAAGGATGCATGACCATTGAAATCGCAACACAACAAAAGATTTTAAGCAAATCCATGAGCGAAATGTAACCTCTAGGATGTCATCAATCTGATATAAACTGGATAAACAAACGCGACAAAAAATAAAAGCAAATAATACAAAATAAAAATAGCAAACAACTTGACAAGTTCATAAATGAAAAAAAAACCTCAAAAAATAATACCATCAACTATGTCAATAGATACAACAAATGTTATAAATACATCAAATGTCAAACCAATACATGATAGATTGTAAGTATTATCCAAATTCTTCAAAATTCACCATAACTCTGAAAACCATAAATGTAATTGATATAATAATAAACACAGAATATGCATTGATTTAAACAACATCAATAATGGAAGGAAGAGGTATTTCTGAAATCAATACATTCATGAAATGATGAAAAGGACCTAAAAAAACAAAAATTAAATGTGAATGAATAAAAATCAAGAAAAGAATGGAAAAACATGAAGAATATAATCATAATACCTGTAGATAAAGGAGATAAAGCAATAGTAATGAATAGACAAGAATATATAAACCAGATCAAAGAAAACCTAAACGACAATGATGTTTATGAAGAAGTACAAGATCCAACAAACATGATCAAGGCTAAAATAACAACGCTTAGCAATAGATTATTTAAATCGAGTCGAATTACTCAGAACATGAAAAATGAATTTTCATCAATCGACGATCTTCCAAGAATAAAAGAATAACCTAAAGTACATAAATAATATTACCCAATGCGATTAATTTCAAGTATAAGAGATAAAATTCTCTCACCTGCATCAAGATATGGGTTCTCATTATGCAACAAATAAGGGAAACAATCCAGAATTGAATATTCAACACATTCGAATTCATTCTCGAAATATCTAAAATCAAAATAGACCAAGATGGACATTTTATAAAGTTTGGATGTACAAGATTTATTTACGAACATACTTGTAACAGGAACTATTGATACAGCTCTACATAGAATAAGTAATTCCGAAAATTTCTGTGCATCAAATTTGACTAAAGTAGATCTAAAACAATTATTATTATTATTATCATTAAACAATAATTATTGCCAGTTTAATGGAAAATATTACAGACAAAAGCAAAATTTACCCGTGGGTAACACTTTATCATCCATGGTAGCTAATCATTACATGGCTGAATACATAAAGAAAAATCTTGAAAAATTCCTTTACTTTTAAAATTCTACAGTTATGTCGATGACACTCTTAAAATCATCACAATGAATGGAGAACAAGTTGAATCATATGTTTAAGATCTTAATAAAATTAAAAGTAAAATTAGATTCACTCATGAATATGAAAGAAATAATGACATCAACATACTTGATACGACATTGTAGAAAAACAATGATAATACGATTAGTATCGAATGACATAGAAAACATAACATCCGACAGGTTATTAAACTACTATTCAGATCATAAACAATCTATTAAAATTAATATTAGTAAATACATGACATCCTAAATAATCGAGAGAATCAATAATAATATTAATCAACAAGATGAGTTGAATAAATACAAAGCAAGTCTCATAAAGTCAAACTATCCAACGCATATCATTGATAAATATATTAAGGAAGCCATGAAAATTATTAAAACTACAACAAATGGAATGAAATACCAAATCACAATACCATTCGTACATGGAATCACAATACTAAAGCGAATATCAGAACAATCAAAAATTCAAATATCTTTCTCCTAGCCTAATAAGCTCCAAACAGAACTTACGAACCTAATTGAACAAAAATCCAGATCGAATATTTATCAAGTAACATGTAAGTGTAAAGCAATTTATAACAAAAGAAATAAAACATGGTTTAAATAAACGAATATGACAACACAAATGAATAATTAAAAACAACGACATTGAACCAAATTCGGAGTTCGTACAAAACCATGTAGATAATACATATTTATGCACATTTGATTTTTGGATAAAGCATTTGTCATTGACCTTGAGATTGTTTGGAAAAAACGACAAATCAAAGAATCAATTTATTCCAACGTTAACAAGCCAATAAATCATTACGATAATATTAATGCACCATAGATTCCTCAACTGTATGAAGGATCTGTAATAATAAAAAGAAACATAAAAACAAAAGGAAGAAGAAATTTATCCATCATTAGAATGCAAGATGGTGATAGTGGGACGGATAAAGAAGGTAAGTATTACATATCTCCGTCCACTTTCACCGTCGTACCGTTTGACTATCATATGATTCATATCAAAAAGAAAAGAAAAAGAAGGTTAAATAGAAAAAATCTATGCATTCCTATACAACGCTTGAAGAAAACAGCTTCAATTGTCGAAACATCACATCATTATTTTATTGAAATCATTCAATATTAATATATTATAATAAATTGAAATCATTGTTTTTATTTAATTTTAATTGTTGAATAAAGGTATACAAAAAATAAATATGTACATTTAAGGAAGACTAAAAGCGTGCAATAAATTAAAGGTATAGTTTCTAACCAAAAAAGACAACATATGTTTTGACAATATTCTCATAATGATTTTGCACACATTATGATGCACTTTTTTTCTGTGTTAGTATCGTATAACTGTGTGAACAACGAATGAGAGAACAAACAAAATAATGGATTAATTTCGGGAATATGATTTGTCGTCAGTAAAATGAATGAAATGATTAATAAAAAAATATATAAATAATCATTGTAAATATTGAATGGTTAGTACGAAATGATCAGCTTTTTTAATAGAAATCAGTGAAAAATTAAAACTGTGTCAATTAAAAATTCAAATTGGACCAGTAAAAAATGCAGATTTTATCCGCACAAGAAATAAATTCTATTGATATAAGAATTAATTTAGTACAATAAAAATAAATTTAAATAAATAAAAAATCACACAATAAATGACAAGAAATTCAAAAGTACAATAAATGACAAGAAATTCAAAAGTACAATAAATAGAAATTCAAAGATTGAATGAACAAAAAAAGAAAATGAAAGTTTAATTATTATACTAACAAAACAAATTAAATGTTTACTGGTCTACTTTTTTTCTTTTCACATAATGTGACGCTGATTTTGCCGGTGCTGGTGGCTTTTAATATTTCAAACCAATGGTCATACAAAGAACGTGTTTGTATAAATAATTCTTAGAAAAAAAACTGGACAGTTGCATTTTGGTATGTTCCAGTTTGAATCATTCTCCATTTCCATACACTAAATATCAAATGATTTTCAGAATTGAGTAAAATTTGTTGACTTCTTACTTTTATATTTATCTAAATCGACTTATGTAATCGATTGTCAATCGCGAATTGGTATATTATATGTTTTTGAAAAATCATGAGAAATATTAATTGAATCTTTGGTAGATTTGGCCCATTGATACATTAAAGTTCATAATTGTAATGATATTGTTGGTTTTATTGCAAATATTTTTGAGGCGATTGAGGAAGAATCTCGTTTAAATGACCAATTATCGACAGTGTTCAAAGCTATTGTGAAAAATTTTAGAAAACACGACATTCTCTAAATGTTTCATCGTCTTTGATTCTTTTATTGCTAGCCTCGAAGGCATTGTTTGTGCTTGATGCATGCAGTTGTGTACGTTTAAAATAACCATCATTTTGTTTGAGAATATCATTATTATAATAGCAAAAGAAATCTAATACTAATTGGGTTTTGCTTGTTGTTCATGTTCCATTTCTTTATAAATAGTATAGGTGCTAATGTGAATACAGCTCTAGCATTAGATAATTTGAAGCACTTTAATTTCTTTTATATCATTTCTTTTGTAATATGTATATCACCTATTAGAATCATACTATAATACATTTCTATTTTTATATTTATCATTTAATTTAATTCACTGATTTTTTTGATTTATCAACAAGCCTAATTATTTTAATAATTAGTCATTTAAATAATTTACTGATCGTTCATTCATTTTACAGATCATTCTTTGTTTTACTGACCATTTCATTTATTCTAGTGACTATTTAAATGTTAGCCTAAAATTTCCAATAAAAAAAAAACAACATACGCAGTGACGATATTGTCATGAATAATCTGCACGTATTGTCATGCATATTTTTTTCTAGATTAGTATCGTATAATCGTACCAAGGACGAACGAAAGGACAAGCAAAACAATGGTGAAATTTCTAACCAGAAAAAGAAACAAAATATGTATTGAAATTATTCTCATCATTTTTCGCGATACGGTTGAATGCGCGAAGCAATACATATTTTTCAACGTATACATATGTAACATTATGCTTTAATTAGAAGCATACAACGACGTCACCACATTATAATAGTATTATCGTTTTGAACCGACAAGATTCCCTACGAATCCAACGAGCAAATGTATGTGTCTACGAAACGGTAGTATCTTTAGATCTTTTTAGTAATAAACATACAGGGGATTTTTCTGTTCTCAAGTAGTGACAATAACAATGTATAGTGTTATTTTTCTATCATAGCGGTTCACTTTTTTTTGGTCAATCTGAATTTAGAGGAATGAAGCTCTTGGGCTCAAATAGGAATGCGTAGCTAAGGGAAGGAAGCCTCAGAATTATTCATCCATATTGAAATGTATATAAGCCCCTTTTTTTCCAGATAGGGGACTAGACGGTATAGAGATGTTGATATTTATATTCATTTATATATATATAAAGCACCGGAGAAACAAAATTAAAGTAGCTAATCATATATATGTATACGGTTAGGTAGAGGATGCCGAGCTAATCAAGAATATTTATGTTTTTCTTTGGAATTAGTTTTTAGAGCAAAAAATTCGGCTTTTGTCAATGACCTATTTGTCATGAAAAAAAAACAAATAACTATAATTGGAAAATTATCAGTTGTTTTCTTTTGTTTTGAATTTCAAAAACTGCTTGTTTCAGATTTAGCATGAAAAACTGAATCTATGAAAGTCATTTACAAAAGACTTTCCTATGTTTCGTTTCGGTACTAAATCTGAAACAAGCAGTTTTGAAACTCAAAAATAAAAGAAAATAATTAATAATTCTTGAGTTATAGATAATCGAATTTTTTTTTATTAATCAGTAGGTCATCCAACAAAAAATGAAATTTTCCCCAGGAATCAATTGCAGAAAATAGATATATATATATATTCTTGATCAATTGGTCACGTTCTAGCCAATAGTACACAGATGCACGGAATTCTATCTTAATTTTGCTTTTTTAGCGCCTTATATGAATATATCATTCCAAATACCACGTAATACGTCATCCAAAAACAGAGAGCACACCAATATATATATATTTATATATATACAACGATTATGCCAAATGTTCCAGTATCCCTTGCACCCATTCAAAAGCAGATAAGAGTGATCGGTTTAAAATATAACATAACTTTATTAAATCCAAAAAAATTCTGAAAATATTCAGATTTAAAGAAATCTAAATTTCTTTATCATGAATATTTAAATTTATATCTAATTTAAATTCTAACAAAAATTAAAATTATTTCAACTTTAGATCCAATTCACGTGAATCTAAAATGATTTAAATAGGTTTAAATGGAATATAAATGGATTAAGATTGATTTACATGGGTTCAAATACAATATAAACGGAATTAAATCAAATTAAAATCCGTATAAATCTATTTAAAACCTATCTAAACTCATCTAAATCAATTTAAATTCGTTTAAATAGCATTTAAATCAAATTTCAATGAGTTTAGATCGTGGACAACTGTACTCCAACCCAACTGAAATGTATTTCAGTTCAATATAAATGCATTTAAATCCAATTCGATTCGATTTAAATTCAATTTAAATACATTTAAATTGATTTAAATGTGTTCAAATGAGATACAAATAGATTGCAATACATTTTAACAGGTTTAAATCCGATATTAGTGCATTTCAATTGGATTGAAAACCATATATATTGAATTTAAGGGGAGCATCCCCTCCTTTCCCGATATAAATTTTTCGATTTTTTGTTTTTTGCGACTGGATATAGATATTAATGGCCTTTATCTACTGAGAGCATTTGCAGACCTGAAAACCTACCTTTTATGGGTAAAAAGTCCGAAAAAAAAATCCATATTTCCCTAGAAAACTCTTAAAAACCCATCTTTTCTTGCCATTCTTCTAAAAATCAGATTTTTGAGCAAAACCAAGAAGTTTTCCCTCTTTTTCTCCGAAATGGCTAGACCGATCTGGATGAAATTTTTTTATGATAACTAGGTCAAATTTGGGCGCGTGTTTTTTTTTCTTTACAAAAATATAACTCCTACAAAATTTGACGGCCTTTAGAAAAATAGTACCATGGAAAGCATCAAGTGTCTCTATTGTTTTGCCTGTCCTAAACTCTAGAAACGATATTTTTGTAAAGAAAAAAAACATGCACCCAAATTTTACGTAGTTATCATAAAAAAAATTCCAGCCCGATCAGTCTAGCCGTTCCGGAGAAAAAGGGGAAAACTTCTTGGTTTTGCTCAAAAATCTGATTTTTAGAAGAACGGCAAGAAAAGATGGGTTTTTAAGGGTTTTCTAGGGAAATATCGATTTTTTTCGGACTTTTTACCCATAAAAGGTAGGTTTTTAGGTCTGCAAATGCTCTCAGTAGATAAAGCCCATTAATATCTATATCCAGTCGCAAAAAACAAAAAATCGAAAAATTTATATCGGGAAAGGAGGTCCCGTTAAATCCCTTTGGACAGGACTTATACTCACTTGTATCAGTTTAAATTAATTTATGTTACATTTAAATCAAAGATAAATAGAGTTAAATGCAGTAAAATTTCATTAGGTT